GTCACCTCCTCCCCGCTCTATCCCTCCGCCTCCTCCACATCGTCACTACTGTTTATTACAATAATATTCTATCCTAATTGACTTGAATAAATACTACCATACCATATTTCTGAATATTTTCATTAAAATCCATCCAAATCATTTTCCTTGCCATCGTCTGCAGCACCAAACAGCTTGTGGGGTTCAGGATGTTTGGTTCACACTCAGGATGGAATGGAGAAAGGAAACTCACAATGTGCTCTCTATATACATGTTGTATTGGATGTACAATGCAGCTTGGTGCTGGGAAGGCAGCGTGGTTACAAGTGTGATGTAGAGAGAGCTGGTTGGTGAGGACGCTCAGAGAAGGACAGCTTGTGGGTCGCCGGCAGGAGAGAGGACCGCCAGGCAGGCGGAGGAGGAGCGAGGGCCGCCAGGCAGCGGCGGAGGAGGAGGTGTTGCTGGCTGCGGCTGTAGGTAGAAAGAGGACAGGTCACCACGAGGTCAGGTCTTAAATAGCGGGGGGTAGGCGTGGCTTAGCAGTTGACCCCCGCTCCGTGGTGTATGGCGGCGCTGGTTGACCTAGACCACGAGGCATACACTGGGGAATTGGTGGGGTCGGCTAGGCAGCGACAAACAGCATTTGTAGGGGAGAATTCCACTACAATACTCCCCCTTCCCTCCAGGCGGTGTAGGAGACTTGTTGTCTGCAGGGTTGCATAGCACATGTGAGGCAGAACGGGCGGTGCATGCCTCATGTGACACAACGGCGATGGCGTGGATGAGCCGGTCGCTGGGGACAACTGTCTAGATACACAATATCTGTGGGAGTAGAGAGGGAGAATAAGGGTGTGAGGAGGCGATGAATGTTGTGCTTCCCTCACGGCAGGTACAGAGTCGTCAGATGTGCCTGCTAGGGTGTGTGGGCCTGGGTCAGGAGCAGGGGCTGCGTCAGCAGAAGCGGATGAGGGCTCGTTACAGCAGCTGGGTCCACGACAGCAGCAGGGTGCAGGACATTAGCAGGGAGTACCTGAGGGAGAAAAGAGGGGTGTGTGGGTCCGCACTCAGGAACAGAGGCCGCATCAGGGGCGGCAGGGGTTACTGCTGGGCCGGGGTCGGCGTCTGAGGCAGGACGGGTGTGCTGGGGTCGGTAGGACGTGGTGCTTGGGGCAGGAAGAGGAGCTGGTGTCTGCTTAGAGTAGCAGAGCTGCTCTAGGGTGTCTAACCTGCGGTATAGAGACAGTAGTTGTAGAGCCGATGAGAGCTGCTTCTGTGTGGATAAGCCAATCTTCCATGTTGCTTGAAGACTGGGAGCGTTATCGGTTTCTCCTCCATCCTGTGTGAGTGCGAATCTCTGGGAGTCACCATTTGTGGGGTTCAGGATGTTTGGTTCACACTCAGGATGGAATGGAGAAAGGAAACTCACAATGTGCTCTCTATATACATGTTGTATGGATGTACAATGCAGCTTGGTGCTGGGAAGGCAGCATGGTTACAAGCGTGATGTAGAGAGAGCTGGTTGGTGACGACACTCAGAGAAGGACAGCTTGTGGGTCGCCATGCTCGCCGGCGGGAGAGAGGACCGCCAGGCAGGCGGAGGAGGAGCGAGGGCCGCCAGGCAGCGGCGGAGGAGGAGGTGTTGCTGGCTGCGGCTGTAGGTAGAAAGAGGACAGGTCACCACGAGGTCAGGTCTTAAATAGCGGGGGGGTAGGCGTGGCTTAGCAGTTGACCCCCGCTCCGTGGTGTATGGCGGCGCTGGTTGACCTAGACCACGAGGCATACACTGGGGAATTGGTGGGGTCGCCTACTCAGCGACAAACAGCGTTTGTAGGGGAGAATTCCACTACAAGCTTCTCCCAGTCCTCTCCTTGAACAGGGCTAGAGGGTACGTGTTTTTCGAATCGTTTTCAATTAAAAAAATGTTACATCACACGTATATTTTACCTAAACTGCGCCTGAATGAATATATTCTTGGAAATAAATAGTAATTTTGCTGAAACGTGATGTATTTCAATGTAAAATAGGATAAAATACATGACGAAAACAAAAGACTTCACCTAACCTTCCAATGTTCAAGAGATGTTACTCGTTTTTTTAATAGTTTTCGGTTAAAATACTGTTATATTACAATGATATTATATTCATACTGTGCTTGATATACTACATTCACAGAAATGAAATATTTTTGCTGAAATGACGTAAGTATTACAGTGGAATGTGGGACAAAATCGTGACGAAAACAATGACTTTCGCTTTCTTTCGTTCAAAAGATGTTACCGTAATCGCTTTTCGAATGGTTTTCAGTTAAAAAACTGTTGCATCACAAGTGAATTAGGATAGAATATTATTGTAATACAACAGTTTTTTAACTGAAAACCATTCAAAAAGCGATTACGGTAACATCTTTTGAGCGAAAGAAAGCGAGTCATTGCTTTCGTCACTTTCCACTGTAATACGTACGTCATTTCAGCAAAATATTACATTTCCATATTCTCAGAAATAAATAGTACTTTTGCTGAAACGTGATGTATTTCAATGTAAATTAGGATAAAATACATGACGAAAACAAGAGACTTTACCTAACCTTCCGATGTTCAAGAGATGTTACTCGTTTTTTTAGTAGTTTTCGGTTAAAATACTCTTATATTAGTGATATTCTATTCATACTGTGCTTGATATAATACATTCACGGAAATGTAATATTTTTGCAACTACAATGCTGATGTCAACACAAGTGTGGTTACAGCGAGACTGACTGAGTGAGGGAGAGCTATGCGTGTGTGTGTGTGTGTGAGGTTGCGGGAGCGTCGGTGTCCCGTGTTCAGTGCCGCGCGCGAGTTGAATGGCGCGCGATTTGAATGTACTTCAATTACTTCAATGTACAGAATATTCCTCTGGCGGGGCAATCCGCGTATTTGCGAATCCGTGAATGCTAAACCCGCGTATGTGAAGGGCCGACTGTATACTTAAACATGATATTAAGCTAATCTCAGATGATGTACAACCCATTAGGCAATCAGCCTATCGACTAAATCCACAAAAAAGAGAGATTATGAAAAAGGAGGTAGACTTTTTGTTAAAACATAACTTAGCTGAGCCTAGTACCTCCCCCTGGGCTTCACCTAGCCTTCTCATTCCAAAACCCGATAGCACTTTTCGTTTCTGTACCGATTATCGTAAAGTGAACCAGGTCACTGTCTCAGACTCCTACCCTTTACCTTTGATTGAAGATATAATAGACAGCATAGGCTGTGCCAAATTTATCAGTACCGTGGACCTGTTGAAAGGATATTATCAAGTGGGACTCACGGATAGGGCAAAAATAATCTCGGCATTTATAACTCCATTTGGTCTTTTTCAATATTTGGTTATGGCGTTTGACTTTTCTAATGCTCCGGCCACATTCCAGAGGGCCATCAATTACCTAATTCAGGACCTAGGTGGGACGTTCGCCTACCTGGATGACCTGGTGGTGGTGTCGGACGGCTGGGACGAACATCTGGTGCGTTTGGAGATGCTGTTGGCACGACTGCAAGAGACTGGATTCACCATAAACCTGGCTAAATCTGCTTTTGGCCGGGCCTCAGTGACTTACCTGGGACATATCGTTGGGCATGGTATGGTGAGACCCAAGGACGCAAACGTTAAAGCCATCTTGTCCTTCCCCACTCCAAGGACGAGGAAGGAACTCATGCGCTTCCTGGGGATGTGCGGCTACTACCGTCGGTTCTGCAGTAACTTCTCCAGCGTGGCCGGACCCCTCACAGACCTTACCAGTTCTGCGGTCCCTTACATCTGGAACCAGAGGTGCGACCAGTCTTTCCACCGCCTCAAAGCCTTCCTTGCCTCCAAGCCTGTAGTCCACCCCCCTGACTACACCTTGCCCTTCCATCTGCAAATCGACGCTAGCGGTGTCGGAGTTGGGGCTGTGCTCCTACAACCCGACCCAACCACTGATGTCCTTCACCCTGTGGCATACTACTCCGCCAAGTTGAAAAAACATCAGACCAACTACTCGACCATAGAGAAGGAGGCCCTGGCTCTCGTGTTGGCAATAAAGAAGTTTGAATGTTACCTCCAGTCTTGCCCACAAACAACCCTAGTCTTCACCGACCATAACCCACTCACGTTCATCCAAACCAACAAGACCTCCAACCAGCGAATCCTCCACTGGGCTCTCCTCACCCAGCCCTATAATCTACAAGTCCGGCACATAAAGGGGGTGGACAACATGATTGCGGACTCCTTATCCCGAGCTCCAATGGAAATGCAGCAGCTACGGAGGTCTTTGGAGGGGGGGTGTGTTACGAACCGCGCCACCAATTGTCCTGATCTACCAACCCAGCACTACGAACTACTCCATCTATTGTCCTGATCTACCTACCTAGCACCACGAGCAACACCATCTAGGGACGAAACCCGAGTATGACTACTCTTAGTTACCAGTCCGGGGTTTCCCTTCTCCATATCCTGGTTGTTGCGTCACCTCCTCCAAGTCTTCTTCATAAGCTCCAGTTTGATGAGAGTTTAGTTCACTCTGGGAAGTGACCACAGGATCACCTATCCTGGAAACCTACGGCACAGTGACTACCTACCGTCTACTACAATACTCGGCCTTACTCGTCAGCCATCTCAGCTCCGCACTTAAGTATTTGTAATCTTATATTGCCTCCCCGCATCCACCTTGCTTCAAATTATTGTATGTTGTATAAATATGTATATACTGTTAATGTTTAAGTTAAGTATGGTTAAGGGTAAATTATAGAAAGCTGAATATTTTGTTAAGGAATTTATGGTACTTTATTATACACAACAAAAACTCGCATCCTTTGTCTACCCTTTTATAGTCCGATTGTCTTGCTTTTTTTTTGTTGTTGCCTGTTGGGATCTGGGTAGACTTTTAACTATATTCTAAATCCCCAACTCGTAACACTATATAAAACATTACAATATGTTAATTTCATTTACCTTTGGTAGATGAACTTGATGTGGTGGAGGTGGGGGGTAAGGGTGATAACGTGTTATTCGGAGTCAGTAGAGCTATGATGCTCCACTGGTCCTTGTCCCCCACTGGTAGAAGGCTGAGGTGACTGAGGATGGCCTGAGTCAGCAGCAGGCTCAACAGCTGCAGCAGGGTTGGGACGAACTGGCTTGAAGAATGAGTCTAGTTTCAGTTGTTTACCTTGATGATGCTGCCTCTGGATAATGAGTTCCCTAAGGGCTCTAATATGTTGATAGTAATGCTGAATATCATCAGTTTCTGCTGACAATTCAATGTACGAAATGACATTATCAAGGGATTCTCGTATAACAGAGAGTTTGGGTTTCTTGGGCAATGGTTCTTCGTCTTCCTCATCTTCACTATCTCTGCTGTCACGAACGAGAACTTCATCCGCTATGTCTTCTTCTGTTAAGACTTGGTATCCAGGGTCACCCTCTGTGTCTTCTAGCCAATTTCTGATGTCGTCTTCTGTGACATCATTTTTGCCCGCCCTCTTAAGGATATGATGAAAGTCCCTTGCCTCGAATCCTTCGAAATCATATTCTACCTCCACATTGTACAGAAGTTTTTTCCAAGCATTGGCTAGAGTAGTAGTCTTCAGTGCCTTCCATGAAGCTGCTAAGTTGAATATTGCAGACTTGAGGTTGTAGTTCTTGACGTTATTAACAGTTCTTTGTCCTCGTGTGTCTTCCGTAAGATCTTCCTCTTCGTCTATAACCGCAAGAACTTCGTCCAGATATCTTCGTTGGTATATTCTCTTGCAGGCTACAATTATACCCTGATTCATTGGCTGGATCAGGGAGGTAACATTGGGTGGCAAGAACATGCATCTTATTTTACCATCATTACTGACAAGCTTGTCAGCACCTGGGTGAGCAGGTGCATTGTCCAAAATTAGTAGCACCTTCACCTCAGCAGCAGGAAGTTTGAGGACATCTTCTTGATATTTTTGCATTGCAGGAATGAAATGCGAGAAAAACCAATCACTAAAGATTTGCATGTTGAACCACGATTTCTTGGAGTGGTAATAATGCACTGATAGATGGTGCATCATGTCTTTCAAAATAAGCGGGCGTGCTGACCTCCCCACCACCACTAACTTTAAACGGTGCATACCGTCTGCCTTCCTCACAACACAATGCCGAAAATCGTTCCTTACTTACTTTACGACCAGGTGAGGAGGCTTTATTCTTGAAATCTTGGGTATTCCGGGGTAGGGACCGCCAATACAACCCAGTTTCATCCACATAATAGACTTGGGAAATCAGGAGCCCTTCACTCTTAATTAAGTCATTTAGCCTGTCCCTGAATGGTTCGATGTCCTCGGTGGGTGCACTACCAGCTTCACCATGCGTAATTCTATTACACATTCCATGGCGATTTCTAAATCGCCATAACCACCCGTCACTAGCTTCGAAATTCTCGATGCCCATATTACTTGCTAGCTTAACAGCAGCAGCTCGTATTTCTACACCACGGACGACATTACCACAGGATCGTTGCTGCACAAACCACTTCGTCACTGCCTCCTCAAGATTTGTATCTTTTGCCACCCTCATACGCTTCCTTGCACCAACAGATGATGATTTAGAAGTTGCATCAACATTATATTTCAAAGAAAATGCAATGAGTTTGTCCTTAGCCTTGCGTATGTCCGAAACTGTTTGCTTTTTAACACCATACTCATCACAATCTCTAGACACCGAAGCACCAGCCTCTAACTTCCTTATAAGTTCCAGTTTCTGGTTCACAGAAAGGGTCACATACTTCCTCTTCGGCGTTTTACTCCCCCTTGAAGACATGATGTAAAATACACGGCTGAAAGATGCGTAATCACTGCAATATCAACGAAAAATGCAGGGCATCACAACACTGATACAGTGACCCCTCATTTAACGAACACCTCGGTTAATGAACTGCCTTCCATAAGGATCTTCAATTCGGTTAACGAAGTTCTTACGAACCGACCTCAACATGTTTTCGCTTGCACTGACCGGGCAACCAGCTTTAGTATCAGTCCGCCAATACATTAATCGGTTCTAGGGCTTAAATTCCTTACTATTTTAGTAAATATCAAGAAGTTTATACTATTCAATAATTTTAAAAGTTTAATATTCAATTTTTTAGTCATTTTAACAATTATTGAACATAATTGAAGGTAAAGTGACTAGTTTAATGCGCGGCATCCAGCCTCTTAACACAGCAAACAGGAGTTAGTCTCTCTCTGTTTTCACTGGAGGTAACATCTTGCTTGAGACTCTCTTCAACTAAATGCTTTTTTTCTGTGTTTCCAAGCAAATTATTGGTCATTTTGAAATATATTTTACATATTGACAATATATAATGCAGTGCTGTGTTGATTTAAAGAAAATAATCTTGAATTACACCAATAGAGCTAAAATTTTATGGGTGAAATGGCGCCATGGGGTGACTTCTCTTCCACCCCAATGCCTTCTCTTCTTCCTTCTCCTCCACCCC